ATTATAGCAAGTGAACACTCTATAATACAAAATTTCACATCCTTTAGGGTTCAAAGTTTGTATCATAAATGCAATTACCATAACGAAAATTGTTTAAAACTCACAAACTAAAAACACTTCCATAAAAACCACACCTTGTTTACAACCATCTTGCAATCAGCTGTTGCTGCGTTTACTCTGCCACCTGGCGGTAGACATTTGAAGTCTTTGTATCTGTGCTAGTACGAGAAAGTTCCGTTAGATGTTACTAGTTGCTGGAGGCTATGTACAGTCTTGAAAAGAACACTATAGACACCCGATTTTAATTACGGTTTGCGTTTTAATTGGGAGTTTCTAGGTTCGACAACTCCACTTTCTCTTAGCTGCTGTTGATTATGTGTCCCATTTAAGCTTCGGAGTTGGAAGGACGACTTGCCGATTTAACGGGCTGAGTTGTCAATGAAAAGAATTTATTAAAATGTAGTTGATTCAAAGCGTCTGTACCGTCTCGCAGTTTCGCGTTTCTGGTAGACTCGCGAATCCTCCTTTGGATTCGCCGGCGTCTCCTCGCGCCTGCGCACCAGAGTCTGACCCACTGCCGCAAGTAGTTCCGGTATCTGATCAGGATGCCTCTGTCGCGTGCCATTCCAGCAGCTGCCGCGTCAGTCGTCTCCTTTACAGACGTGATCGTGCGTCTCACGGGCTGTGCCGGGACCCCGATCTGCAGATCCATCAGCGCTTTCTTTACTTGTCGTTGCAGCTGTCAACATAGGATGCAGCAGTGGTTCACAAATCTGTAGTCGTCAGAATTCATAACAAAGATTTTATTTTTATTTAGTGTTCTGTCTGACGACAGGTCCATATGAACAGGATCCTTCCATCCTTTTCTCGGACTGGGACCTGTTCATATACGTTCTTGGCAGATGATCCAGAAGTGGTTTGCCATTGCCTTCTTCTGTGTGTGAATTTTTTTTTTTTTAGTGTTCTGTCTGACGACAGGTCCACATGAGCAGGATCCTTCCATCCTTTTCTCGGACTGGGCCCTGTTCATATACGTTCTTGGCAGATGATCCAGAAGTGGTTTGCCATTGCCTTCTTCTGTGTGTGAATGGAGTAATTGTTGGGATGCCACGGAGGAAACCTCCGTGTTGCCTAGACCACGGCCTTGCCCAACACAAGTTATAAATTCGGGAACCGCCGGGAATCGAACCCGAGACCCCCCAGGATTACAAGGCCAGCGTTCTAACCGCTAGATACGTCCAGGAATTATGCTCGAATCAATTTTTACCAGTTTAGAAGGAACCATGAGAACCCTGTTAGCGCGTTTCGCGTATCCGTCTGTTTTGTGTCGCGTTTGAAATTAAAGTATCGACATAACAGAGGAATTTAAGATTTTCGAAAATAATTTTTTTTAAAAAAAGAAATCAGAACCTACATCATGTAATTGGTGTGCAGATCGTTAACTCCTTTGGTTTTCTTGCAAACTTCTGAGGTGTAACAGCACTTGTGTCAATCGGGGCTGGTGCTTGGAGGTCTGCTGGATGTTGCATTTAATGACTTAAGTTGCTAACGAAACGTGTCAGTGTAGAAATAAAGCAGAATTATGTAATATAGTATATATGACCGATGCCATGTAATATGACATGGCATTCAATTACATTACATAATGTTATGTATACAAGGACACTGGATAATTAAATAGGTAACTGTCAGTTAAGTTAATTATTTGTGAATATTTATCTATTGTTCTTAACGCTGGAATATTTTACTAACGTAGTAAGTTGGGCTGTTAAAGAGACGCTTAGGTATAATCTGATATTTATGCGAATTAATAATTAATATTTTATCGATACGAACCAGAATTAAATGTCTCCTTACAAGCCCCAGCGTTAACCTCCAATAATTAATTCAGTAAAAATTTCGTTGAGTTTCTTTGTAAAATTCATTTGAGGTTATTTTTTTTTTCAATACCTGTTCTAAGAAAGTCCGAGTCGAGACCATCATGTGCTTTAGGGCCAGAAAGTCTCCATTTTCTCTTCCAATTTCTTCCATCATGATCTGGAATTTCGGCAGGTCCCTGTGCAGTTTAAGTAGATAAAATCCAGCCTGCAAAGATATCAAAAGTACATGTATAGAAGGGAATGATAAATAAATAATTATGCAAGTAATTATATTATAGAGGTCCATCTGTTACTGTACCAAAACGTGTTAAATGTTTCGTTCCGCCTTTGGTCTGGTCTCTGTTCTTTGCTGTTTGTTGGTATCCGTTTAGTTATTCAGGGATACTTACGCCTTTCTCTCTCTACTTTCTCTCCCTCTCCCACTCTCGCCCACGTGCTACCATTGGTCCACTCCCATACGTGCTCCCATTGGCTCGGGGCCGGCTACACCTTTCACCTCCCGGCCTATAAATCCAGCTCCTCACACCCTTTGGCATACTCATCGCCCTGATGACGGAGGCAGTATGACCTCTGAAACGTTGGTTAACATCGACCAGACTACACAGCGCAATAACCCAGAAGACGGATATCTTCATACTCACCGCTGTGAGAACCTCAAGTCTTACATACTTACGCCTGTCTGCAGTGGATAAAAATTATAAAATTGGTCATCAGGTATGCACGTTGACAGCAGGATTTGATGTTCTTATGGCGGCGTCTATGAAGATAGCCGTGTTCTATGTTATAGTGACATGTAGTCTGATAGAAGTTTCCCGACGTTTCAGAGGTATTCGCTGCTTCCATCATCAGGATGATGAGAAAATAGGAGGAGACCAATTGTTGTTTATATTAATTCAGAAGGAGTGGGAAAAAATCTTGATAGATATCCTTGAAACTGATTAATGCGGATGTTATTGTAAAGACAAATTTTTTGGGGTTTAAGGTTAATTTTTTGTTTTCCGTGTCGTTAAATGATCTTTATTGTGGTTTTACTTTCGGACAAGGAAGACTGATATGAAATCTAAGCGTTTATCAAACTTTCCCCACAGAAACAATGTCTCTGACACTCTAAATATTCAAGCTGTATTTTTAAGTAGTTTCACCGTTGTAAAATAGATTAACGTCACCATGGAGATGTACAAAAAAATGGACTGCATTTTTAAAGAAAATGTTAGCCTGATAAGGTTTAATGAAGTTAATCTACTGAGAACATGAGTCATTAAACAGGCACCGCCATGTCTACTCCGTTGTCAGTATGACGTCACTTACTTCGTATTGAGCCAGTGTTACCAACTTCAGACCACTGATATCTCCTTCGCCAGGTATCCAAGAGGGTATATGATCATGACCTCTAGTCGACAGAGTTTGTATCTGTAAAAAAAAAGTCAGTGGAACGACGGTTCCGGAGAATTTGTCGTAAATACGTCTATACGGAAAGGAATTTTATATATTGGCTTTATTCTAAATATTTCCTTTATACATGCTTTACAATTGAGTAAAGTTTGATTAAGACATTGCTTATTCAACTTGAATTAGTTACGCTTAAGATGGGTCTGTGGTAGCTGAATGTAATGTAATGAAATGTTTTATAGGTAACAACAATGCCGAGTAAACAATTGACGTTTGCTAGGTAACCAGGTTACACTTTTTCGTTTCCCTTTTTTCCGAATGACCCTTCCTTATAGACGTATTTACGTCAAACAAATAGCATCATTATGACGCCTGGTAGATAGGCAGTCGAGAACTCTAAATGTTCACGTGACGTATACAACTAACCTGTCCGTAGAGAGCCTCATAATCCTGGCGCTCGTGGTGTCGTAAAGCGATGTCAGTCTGTCTTATCACATCCCTCCACGTCTTCCGTAACAGTTGTTGCCATGGCGCTGACATCAGGGTGTTTCTGTCGTACAGATCTTGAGCGCCTGAACATATTGTTACCAGCACAACACACAGAATGGTTGCTTCATTTGTCACTGCGTTGAAAACAAAGACATGTTGATACTGATTTAGCAAGATCTATAAACTTAAAATATAACCGAGTGGTACAATACGTACCGCCAAATGTAATTATAATTACCAATTGTCGAATTTATATAATTGTTAGATTTGATTTTGTTGCCCCAGGACAGGGACCTGTGGAGGGCTTTGGTTAATTCGGTGATGAACCTTCAGGTTTCCTAAATATTGCACTTAAACCCTTTGCTGAGAAGTAGATCGAATCTGGTACATTTTGTTTGACAAGGAATTTTTTACATATTAAATCTTGTCCGTCTAATCACAATAAATTATTATTAAATATTAAAATATTACAATAATTAACATTTAAAATATGTACGCTAAAATAATATATATAGAAATTGTATTTAAGTTATTATTGATTTGAATCTTTATATAATTATATACACCTGAAGATAGTTCTTTTAGGAACTGAAACATGTCGTGAAAAATGATTTTCTAATGTAAATCGAATATTTCGATAAAGAACATCATTTAATATTTTAAATATTTTAAATGTTATTATTGTAATATTTTAATATTTAATAAGAATTTATTGTGATTAGACGGACAAGATTTAATATATATTTATTATATCACAATATGACGCAACTTTACCATCTCAAGGAATTTTTTTATGAATATGATTGGGTGTCATATCATGTTACTCATTATCAGGGTTTTGTGTTTTAAATGCGCTTATAAAATTAAACTTAAATGCAGATTATGCATAAGAACAGAACTACTTTGTAAAAAGAATACTTTGTAGTTAAGAGATACAATTCAACCTGCTTGTATCAGATTACTGACAGGTAACAGTTTAATTATTAAACTAATCCAAAACTTACTTTTCGGTCCAGATATATAATTAAATCACCAACACCGATGATTCACTGCAATCTGCGTTATTTTATTTTGGTCCTTACATAAGAATTTAAATGTCACCATTACGAAAATTAACAAGTAATTTTTATAACACTTCAGAGTTGTTGTTTGTTTTTCATTTCACGATTCAAGGATTTTTACAACTGAAGGCACATAGTTTACTGTTGTTTTGAAGAATTTGAATGCGCTTATAATATATGTTGATGAACTGGTTTGTATTCGTTCGAAAAAGTGTTGCAATTCACAGAGGATTTGAAACTGGACACAGCTCGTTCACTTCTCTGGTACGAATGTGATAACTCGCTCTAAGCTCTGCGATATATAAATAAATCGACAGAGTTGCGGATACAGGCATCGACATTTCTCGGCTCAGATATTTTATCAGCATCGTTGTTTATCATCGCACAGTGTACGCAATATAATTCATGGTAATCGCAAACCTCTTATCTATTTTCTGTGAAATAGAAACTGATGGTAACTTAAGGGCGTAATGTAAGGTGTTAGGACGTAAGGATAACGTCTCTGTAATTTAATTCACTTAGGGTGGTCATATGAAGGGGGGTTTAGACATTTCAGATGGGGAAACAAGAAAAGCGTACAAAATTTTAAGTGGGAATTTTTATAGGTCTATATGAAAATAACTACTACTGATGTGAATGTTTGGACGTAAGGAAAAGAAGAGGTGTTAGGAAGTTCCCTAGAGAGAAGTTACATAATTGTCAGGTCGTATATTGCTCTAGTTTAAAGAGATATATTGGCCCTCATTTACATGACATAAAAAAATTAAGAACTTGTGATTTGTCATTGACCTTGCCCTTGTGTTCACATGGTTCGTCTTTCAAAGCGTTTGACGAATTTAGACAAAATTTGGTGTGGGAGGTGCGAATTGTGTGGAAAATTTTGGTCTGTATATCGGTCCGCTGTAACTTCTGTCTTTTAGGGAAATTAAACTTAATATGTCACGTTCGCGAAAAGTGGCCAGTTGTGCAAAATAATTGTAACATATAATAAAACACGTCTTTTAATACATAAATTTATCTTAAATGTGGTTTCTGTCCGGACTATTTATTTATTTACAAATAATATTCTGTGCGTGTATGTGATATATTTTATTTATTATTTATATATTTTTTTTCAGTATATTTGTGTCTACAGCTCATTGATATCTAGGCTATAGCAAATAAATATGATAATGATAATTACGTGTGCAGCATCATTAATCTTTATTTTTCCTTTCCCAGAATTCTCTACTTATTTTTGAGTCTACAACATTTTCTTATGACGTCTAGGATTTTTTCATCTCAGTTGTTTGACGATTACAGTCTTGGAATATGCAACAGAAATCTTAAGAACTACATTTGTGCTCGTTTAAGTTTTTTTATTTGGGAGCTCCTCGTAAGTATAAGTTACGGGCAGTTTGCAACTTCCCTGCTGCTGTCGACAATTCTGGTCGCTGCTTATTGAAATTCTGCCGATGAAGGCCGAACTTTACGCGCGTGTGTGTTTGGAATTTGGTTCTTAACTTCTTTCCACACTTTGAGCTCTTTCCTGCGCTGTTTCTCCATCTTGGTCAGTAGTTTACGCCAGTATCGAAGGTAATCCCTGTACTTGACGAGGATTCCCCAGTCCCGAATTAGATGTCTCGTAACATCCGGTGGGATTCTCTCGTCGTCCGCCATCAGAGAGCGCTCTTCCCTTGGGGCAGGGACGCCGATCTGGTGCATCACCAGCGCCTGCTCCACCTCACACAGGAACTACAATAAACATGATCCTTCAGAACATAGTGGTAACTATATGTACCACCTGCTTCAAAAATCAAGAACTCTTCATTTTGTATTTATGTGTTTCGTATGATTCTCGCTGTAAACAGCAATTATTTTCTTAAACAGCGTTAACCAGCTGAACTTTGTAATGGTGAAGTGTAGTGCTTTCTTTGCGGTACGGACTGGATATTTAAATATTATTTAGACGAGCTTCGAGCTACCTGAATCAAAAGTGTGTTTGTGTCTTCCACAATGTCTCGCTGCCTCTCCGTGTTAGTAACAGCTTCGAAAGCGACGGAAAATTTCTGTAGTTCTACGTGAAGCTTTGGAAGATATCTTGAAACCTGTAAGAGACCAGTTTCAAAGGGTAAACGAAATATAAAGCTGGAAGCGTGATTCATAAATCGCAAAACATCCCTGTTACGAAAAGCTATTGACTTGAAAGTGTTTTGGTCAGTAAGTTTAAAACCACGTCAGTTCGTGAATTATTTAAGGACCCTCTCAGTAGCTCCGAGAGATAAGATGATTAATGAATGACGAATTTAAAGCTGTCGTGGCGTAATTAGAGCTGATATCTCACTGTTTACGTGGATGAGGTGAGTGTTACAACGAGAAACCTTAGTCAGAATAGCCGATCTGCAGACCGAGATTTTAAATTCGGACGTTGAGAATACGCTGTAGGCGTGCCCATAACTCTTGTGCAACGTTATTAAAATAGCTCAAACTAAAATAGTTGTTCATGGACTGCACTAAAATCTTCTCGGGTGACCAGCCGCGTAAAATCTGGGTGAAAACCGATGTTTCGAAGAACTTCTGTGTGTCCATCATCACGGTCGGTATCAATCCTGATGATGGGGACAGCGGTTCTCCGAAACGTCGATAGTTAAGACAACTTTGACGTGGCTGATCTCCCGGAAAGATGTTATCCTTTTGTTTTATGGAGCCTAGAAGTTCACTCTTCGTACCCAATTTATTTCAGATTCATTTTAATATTATCCTCCGATTTACGCATATAGTTCCCAAATTATCTTCTTTTTTTTTTTTAGAAAGAATCGTAGATTTGAATAAGATATTTGTGTTTGAGGCACATTAACCTGTGCCGGAATAATTAAATTTTAATACTTACCTCCAGATGTATCGAACGTTCGCCAAATAGCATGAGGACATTTCCCATTCCAGGAACCCATTTCGGCACGTACTGGAGCTCGTCGACCGCCCTTTGAATCTGTAAAACATGTATCAGATGCATAAATAAACTTTTAAGTGTGTCTGTATAAAATTATGTAAAACGTGTAGGCTTATTAAAATGTAAATGTACGTGTTGTTCACATTGACTTTCTACCCCAAAACTATTTTTTTTAAAGCAGACTAAGATTCTACACATTTAGCTGAAATAGCGAATATTGATTTTAATTAATATCTGAAGAATCTACGAACGAAATTACTGACGGCAATCAATTCTGGTTTCTCTGGTGACCCGCGTGTTTTAAATCCATTGATGTAGACTGTTAGTGCCAACTTCATCACTTGAGTCAGAAATTATTTTTTTTTTATATTCAGCTGAACGCCCTGAAGAAGGAGACTGTATGTTTAACCGAAATTTCAGTATCAACCTATGAGTGTACACGGCGTCATAACCCTGAACAACAACATCGTCAAAGTACGTCTTCAGATGCAGGGTCTGGTATACTTCATAAATCATCACCAAGTCATTGTCTACTCACTTCTTCGTAAGAATCATCCAACAGCTGATTCTTGAACAGTTCCATGGTTTTATTCAACTGTTGTGTCATCTTCGTGAGGCTTTTTATCAGCTTTCGGCCAATCACATTTTTATTGGAAACAGCCCTGAGCCTAGAAAACAGGGGAAGGGTGTTTTTTATTCTCCGAAATAAAATAGTCTGAATGCCGTGATGAAGGTTCTCAGGGTTGAGAAATCACACAGAAAATGTAGATGTCGGTCTTCTAGGTTGAACACCGCGTGCACGTAGATTAGACATGAAGATGGAATCAGGCTGCTTCTCCGAAACACTCGTATCTGTTCACAGGTTCACACATTTCAACCCAGAAGAACAATATTCACAGACTGAAATCCGATTTTACGTCTGCTTAGGTTTTGGTTTGAAATTTTCATTGGTAGAAACCACTTGGAGAAGAATAATAATATTAAAATGGATCTTGTGCTTTTCTGGTTCATGGCAGACGTTAACTCAGTAGGCATGTGTTTTCACTAACCTGTGGCTTTGTGAGTGGCGTTCTTTGTTGCTGCAAGGTGTGTACCACTGAGGGACACTCATCCCGGTATTTGTCAGTCCTGCTTCTGACAGTAATACCAACACTGCAGTGAGAATAACAATCTTCATCCTGTGAAGAGACTGGTTTTAAGGCACTGTTAGATTCTTGCTCTGGATATTCTCTGGCAGAACTGTATCGTACACTAGCTAAAGTGGCCGGTATTCCCTGGTGTTTAAAATAAGTCGTTCTGAAATTATGGAATCATTAATTACTTAAAACGCTATCCGACAAAACTGTACACAATCTGTACAATACTATGCTCTATTATATTATACTCTACGTAATAATGAAGTTAGTTATGTACGGTTTATACTCATATATCAGCTTTTTGTATGACGAGCGACTTCCGCTCTGAAGATGGAGACAGTGTGTTCCTCTGAAACGTCGTCTACCTATAAGCCCACAAGGCGTTACAGCACAGAAGACCAGAATCACCGTACATAAATATGGATTAAGGTTTTTAGTGTTGATCTACACTGAATACTTACTTGATGCTAGAAAGTTGATCTTGTCTCAGGAGTCATCTATATATATAATGTGCATGCCTTTGTTTTATGGGGGAATCACAAGAATTCGGGGATTCTTTGCGAGATGAGATTGCAGAAAAGCAAATTAAGAACAATGTAGAATTTACCTAAAATTGCGCCACTCCATATCAATTGGAGAAGTTTCGTTTATCAGTTTTAGATCTTCGAACATCGACCAATACGTCATAATTAGCTATTATGCATGTTTGCGTTACGTTATCTTATCGATTTTAATACAATTCTTATGAGTTAATAAAACGAAACTGAATCAGGGCCATTCCCTAAAGTTCACGTGATATTTTATTAAACTATTTTAAGTCATGTAGGATTTGAGGATTTCACGACGACGAGTCTGAAGATGGTTGTCTTCCGGGTTGTTGAGCCGTGTAGTCTGGTAGAAGTTTACCGACGTTTTAGGGGTCCTTACTGCCTCCATCGCCCTGATGATGGAGGCAGCGTATGCCTCTGAAGAAGACAGCAATCTCCTGTCTTAAATCGTCTTACAATTATGAACATGATTCGTGATAACGAGTGACCTGAATTAATTACCTGGACTGTCTATTCGCCCTTAAACCGCTCATGTGATTTCTTTATAAGACTTTTTTTTCATTTTCCATCGCTCTTAATTCACGAACAATTATTCATTTGAATTTCCCACGGCGGTGAACGTGTGGATCGTTGTTTTCTTTGACTGGCGCCAGGTGGTGTTGCAGGTGGTCTTATAGTGTCATATCTTCCAAATAATTGGGGTTAAAAGTTGCTATCCTGAAGATAGAGGCGATACTTCATTTCGAAACGGTGGAAAACCGCCTACGCCACTTACACCGCGTACAAACCTAGATGACCACAATCGATAAACATGCAGCTTAGTAGCACTTATTTAGGATTTAGAGTTTTCTGCTGGGATTTATCATCGTTTTGGTAGTGCATTACACTGACCCTCCTGCGATTTCGGAATGGCGTGTGCATCAAATTTTGCCAAAGACTCGCCAAAACGGCTACGGAAACCTATGAGATGCTAAAGCAAGCATTTGGGGAGTCCGCAATGGGTCGTGCACAAACTTTTGTGTGGCATTCACGTTTTAAAAATGGCCGAACCTCTGTCGATGATGACGAGCGTTCTGGACTACCATCTTCGAGCACAACGCCCGAAACTGTTACGAAGATCGACGTCGTACCATCACTTGTACGACTTGTGCGACATTGTTGGGATAGGCTATGGGACCTGTCAGCTGGTTCTAAAGGAAGAACTCCACATGCGACGCATCGCAGCCAAGTTTGTGCCAAGGCTCCTGTCTGAGGACCAGAAGCAGAATCGACTTGACTTCTCGTTTGTCAGGAGCTCAAAGATCTTGCAAGAACCGACCCCAACTTCCTTTCTAAGCTCCGTGTGACTTCTTCCTCTTCCCAAAGATGAAAATTCAGCTAAAGGGAAGGAGATTTGAGACGATAGAAGAGATTCAGGCAAAATCGCAAATGGTGCTTGACAGGCTGACAAAGAAAGATTTCCAGGGATGCTTCCAGGCTAGGCAGCGGCGCTGGGATCGTTGTGTTCACTCCCAGGGGAACTACTTCGAGGGTGATGGATGAATTTAATACCTGAGATAAGTGTACGGTTTTTTATAGGCGCAGTCTGGAAACTTTCCGATCGCACCTCGTATTAGAGAGATAAGAAATGGAGACAATTTTAGTCCGACAGCCATAAGGAAAGATACAACTTGCCAGACCTAGGCGTATATGGGAAGATAATATTAAAATGAATCTTAAGGTAACAGGATAGTGATAGGTGCAGAATTTCCTGACTTTCTGAGTGGCTGTTCCATTTTGAAGAAATCTGCTTCGTGAAATCAGGAAGTACGATGCAGGGAATACATCCATAACAGTGAAAGGATTAGTGGTTAAGTAAATTTAAAATTATTCTGCTATATAAAGAAGACGGAAGAATATCTGTGAGTTGTATTTCTTTATTAATACACCAATTCCAGATACAGTTGCTCAGTTTTTAAATACATCAAATAAAATTTACAAAAACCTTTTCAGTCGTATTAATAGTTATTGATTACTTGTCTCGTTATTGTGGTTAAAGTTGTTGAAAGTAAACATCGTCATATCTACTACTGTAGAGTGTTTACATGTATTCAGTATAATTATATGCAGAGATTGTATAACAACCTCGTAATGGCTTAGCAAGTTATAAAATAAATACTTTGGAACACTTTCTAGCTTCTCCCTTTACGTCTCTGTTTCGACGAATTGCGTCTTTTGTGGTGTCCCTCCATCTTGGCCAGTAGTTCGCGCCAACAGTGCAGGTAGCCGCTGTACTTGATGAGGATTCCCCAATCACGGACAAGGCCTCGAGTCTCGTCTGGTGGACTTCTCTCTTCGTCTGGCATCAGAGACCGCTGTTCCCGAGGTGGGACACTTATCTGCAGCGTCACTAGTGCATCTTCCACCTCACACAGCAGCTAAACAGACAGAATGTGGGTTCTGGAATCTGTTATTTAATAATCCAGTCCGTACCGCGAAGAAAACACCACACTTCACCATTACAAAGATCAACTGGTTAACCTTGTTTAAGGAAATAATACGACTAAAACGCTAATTAACCTTTGGAGCCGAAGCTCGTCTAAATAATATTAAGGACTGAGTCCGTACCGCGAAGAAAACACTACACTTCACCATTAAAAAGATCTACTGGTTAACGCTGTTTAAGGAAATAATCGCTGTTTACAGTGAGAATTACACGAAACTTGAGAAAGGACATACATGGATTATCTAACAGGTGGTATATATATATTTACCGCTAGTTGTAAATCCGGGGAATACTTTCAGCCGTTCAGTTCTTAATCTTCTTGTCGTCTTGTCTTGCGTTTAAACTTTTAAGAAACAATTCACAGTTTCACCTATTGTTTTATAGACTATGGGTCTAAGTGGTACTTGGTATCGTAACTGAGTGTGTTTTTAAACAAAATACTAAGGATTATACGATAAAGTAGCCACGGTGGTCTAGCGGTTAGAACGCTGACCTTGTAATCCTGGGGTCTCGGGTTCGATTCCCGGCGGTGCCCGAATTTATAACTTGTGTTGGGCAAGGCCGTGGTCTAGGCAACACGGAGTTTTCTCCGTGGCATCCCAACAATTACTCCATTCACAAACAGAAGAAGGCAATGGCAAACCACTGCTGGATCATCTGCCAAGAACGTATATGAACAGGTCCCAATCCGAGACGAATTTATAACTTGTGTTGGACAAGGCCGTGGTCTAGGGAACGCGGAGTTTTCCTCCGTGGCATCCCAATAATTACTCCATTCACACACAGAAGAAGGGAATGGCAAACCACTTCTGGATCATCTGCCCAGAACGTATATGAACAGGTCCCAGTCCGAGAAAAGGATGGAAGGATCCTGTTCATATGGACCTGTCGTCAGACAGAACACTAAATAATTAATACGATAAAGTGCAACGAACCTGAATAAGGTATGTGTTGGTGTAAGCTACAATTGTTCGCCCTGGGTCTCTCTGAATAATGGCTTCCATGGCGATTGCAAATTGCTGGAGTTCTGTGTGCAGACTGGGGAGGTAGCTGGAAACCTGCAATAACAACAACGACACATGTCAACGGGTTCAGTCTTTGACGTTGGTTGTTCTAATCGACGACGTCATATACGGTTCCTTCCACAACCTCTGACCTTGCCTGGTAGACGTAAGCCGTATGTGGGAGGTACTTTTACATCTACATGATGGTACGATCGTGAACACTTAATTTAGAAATTTTTTGGAAGAAAATATTTGCCTGGATGGACTGAGGAAAACCATCAGTATAGCCGGTCGGTTCACGCATTTTTGAGCCTGGAAAGACCCTAATATGAACCTTGCAGTGCAATGATTGTACGTTGCTAAAGCTGGCAAGGGGTAAATTCACCAAAGTCGGAATTATCAGACCAAAACTGGACTGAAGGACAGTCGGATAACACGGAATTGTAAATATCAAGTCAGTTTGCGATATTATTGAATCACGAAGAAAATGCAACACAGAGAGGCGACTGTGTGCTGGTGGTAGAGGAGTGTGATTCGTTCCTCTGCATGCTGAGTTGACTGTCGATAACCCATTGCGAGTGACTTTGTCTTGGTACTGTTACCGAGAATTAGCTGATTACGTAGATGTAAGCCTTCAAATATCTCACCTTTCGTCGTGTTGGCCTGTCGAAATGTATAAGCACGTTGCCTTTCCCAGGTACCCATGTCAACAGGTACTGGTTGTCGTCAACGCCTTTCTGAACCTGGAAATAAGTTACATTAGAAATTAAGGTGCCTTAGACCTTCGCCAGAATTGTCACTCCTAATTCTGTGCCCCATCTCCGTTATTTTAATCCATATAAATAAAATTTAATTCCCTACTTACCAGTTTATTTTATTTTGAAGCCCGAGTTCGTCTAGTACAGTGGTATTTAACCTTTTTTGTTCGCGTACCCCCAGATATAATTTCTCTTCAACTTTGTACCCCCAAAAAGTTGTTGGTGTATAATTCAAGTTATTATAGTATATAATCTACATCTAAAATAATTTAAATAAATTACATTACTGATTATTCAGTGTTTATCATAATTTCTTTTTAATTTCACGTACCCCCTAAGATGTCTTCGCGTACCCCAGGTTGAATACCACTGGTCTAAATGATATATAACAATTCAGCTCGTACCGCGAAGAAAACACAACTCTTCACCATTCAAATGATCAAGGAAATAATCTCTGAGAATAATACGAAACACTCAAATACACTGTATGGAGTTACTTGTTATTGAAACAGGTGGTACGTATAGTTACCACTGTGTTTTAAATGTGCAACTACCTTTATGTTTGGTACTTTAAGATTTATTTAATTACTTCTACGAATAC